CTCAACCATTTGTAGTGTTACTTAACTAATGGAGTTATTTTGAGCTTTATGTATACAACCAACCTTGTGTCTGTTACATGAACATGTAGTTAGATTTCTTTTTAAAACCAACAAATATATAAACCGTATTAAAAAAAAAATATCAATTGACATGAAGTTGTCCAATAAATATATAAGTTTTACCTAAAGAATCAATTAATATTAAGTAAAACTGTTCAACAAATATATAAATCACACCTGGAGATTTGGGACAAATAATGTGAGACTTTCCAACACCCCTTAATATGTTTGCCAAATTAGGCAATGCCTACTAAAATAGGTAAACCAAAGATGGATTCTAAGTTTTGATATTATGTTATATTTTATCTTAAAACCAATTAATATTAAGTAAAGTTGTCCAACAAATGTATAAACAACACTCAAAGAATCAAGATAGGCGTTATGAGACTTCCCAACACATATAAGAAGAATTAATTTGTTTTCTCTATTTAATAGTCATGATTTAGATTAGTTAATCATTCTCATTTTTTGATCATTCTTTCTTGTCTTGGGTTATTCTTAGATAAGATACTGGAGTTTGTTACTTTACATAGGGGTTGAGTTAAATTTTATGATGCATGTTTTTGAAATTTATTATCAAGTGGAGATTTTCATTTGCATATTTATGCAAAAGTACAATAATATTAAAATAACCACATATTGTTTGCAATGTGTTGACCGCAAAGTGATATTGATTTCTTTAATAACGAGTTTATTTGTATTTGATAAAGTCTAGAGATTAATTCATTCATTCATAATGTTTTTGTTTTTACTTTGACTACAGAAGCGATATTCTTCTATGACATTTGTAGACTTTACATCTTCATTGGTTTCACTTTTAGTTTCTCTTTTTACCAATCTAAATTATGTTTGAATAGCATTTTGGGACATGATTTTAGATGTAACTTTCAAAATTAATTTATAAGGTGAAAAATGTCTCAATAAATTTTCTTTCTTTAGTGGAGAATAGAAAGATAAGAAAATATAATACTAAATAAAAATAAGAAATAAAGTATGAGAGTTTTAATAGCAATACAATGGAAACGAAAAGGAAAAAAAAAACATTCCTTCATTCTAGGCCACTCATTTAATAATCAATTTTGGTTATAAAAGCTTTTTTTTTTTCTTTTCATTGTTTTGATAAATCTTTTGAGAAACCAAAAATAGAGAGTTTCTGAGAAAAATATAACCTCATTTCTGTATAAGAGAGAGAATTCTTTTAGTGAATTATGAAAAGAGTGTTTAGTCATAATATTTGTGAGATTATTATTATTATTGTATTCTCAATATATTTTTAATGGAAGCTATTCATTTTATTGTTTCATTGTGATCACATAAAGTATGAAAAAAGTTACATCCAAGGATAATAATTTATTCTTTGGCCTTGTATTAGGCAATTTTATTTGTTATCTTTTCCAACAAGTGACATTAGAGTTTCAAATTATTATATAGTTTAATATGTGTCATTCACAAATAGAAGAGTCAACCTCAATAGCATCAACAACGATGATTAAGTTAACATTTTCAAATTACTCTATTTAGAAGTCTAAAATGGAAGACATTCTTTACTGTAAAGATTTGTATGAACCTTTGTAAAATGAAGGAAAGCAACACGATGCAAAGTATGATGCTAATTAAACATTAATGAAAAGGAAAATTGTTGGACAAATTTAACAATGGATAGACTAGAGTGTTTTTTCATCATGTGGCACAAGAAACTATTACGTACACTTTGTGGAAAAAACTGGAATCCATGTATGAGAGAAAGATTGCCTAGAATAAAGACTCTATGATTTGATGATCAATGAACATCGAGTATGGGAGACTCGAAGTGTTTTTGAACACTTAAGCAATTTTCAAGGATTGGTTAATCAACTCACCAATATGAAGATGGTACTTGATGATGAGTTACAAGCTTTATTGCTTCTCATCTCTTTGCTAGACAATTGGGACATATTAGTAATTTTATTGAGTAATTCAGCTTCACAAGGTGTTCTAACATTAAAAATAGTAAAAGATAACATGCTTAATGAATAATTAAGAATGGGGAACAAGGGATGCCAACAGAGTTTGAGGCCCTTGTCATGAAATATCGTGAAAGAAGTATCAACAAGAAAATGCACAGAAGAGATAAGTCAAGGGGCAAGTCAAGAGATCAATAAATCCAAAGGAAGGTTAAGGACAAGAAGAGATGTAGAATGTTACTATTATCATGAGAAAGGTCACATGAAGAGAGAATGCAGAAAGTTCAAAAGAGAACAAATAGAGAATGGTGATGCAAGTAACATAGCTACTACCATTTTCATGGAGATGAGGTAATATTTGTTTGTGATGTTGGTCATGTTAATTTGACATCACAAGATACATGTTGGGTTGTGGATTCTAGTGCATCATTTCTTGTAACCTCGTGAAGGGATTTTTTTCCAACAACACAAGTGGTGATTTTGGTCATGTGAGAATTGGAAATGATAATAGATCTAAGATTATGGCAAAAGGAGATAAGAAACAAATATCAGTTGTCTCCTAACATTGAAAGACGTGAGACATGTTCCTACATGTGTCTTAATTTAATTTGACGAAGGGTATACTAGTGTGTTTGGGAAGGATAAAAGCTAATGCAAAGTTTCTTGGTGATAACTCAAGGTAAGAAAATAAGCAGACTTTATTTGATAGAAGCTAAAGTCAATAACGAGTATGTTAATCCCTTGGAGAAGACTCCTCGATTGAATTATCGCATAATAGGCTCAGACATATGAGTGAAAAAGGCCTTCAAATTCTAGCCAAAAGAAATATATTGGCAGGTTTAAAAAGGAATAAATATGTTTCTTAAACCATGTATGCATTGTTTGACTATAAAGTAACATAAAGCTTCCTTCCGCTACAACACCATGCATAGGAGACCAAATGTTTTAGATTTGGTACATTGTGATATTTGTGTTCCAATGACCACTTGTACTCATGGAGCTACAAGGTACTATATGACCTTTATTGATGACCATTCTAGGAAGGTTTAGGCATATGCCTTCAAAACAAAGGAGCAAGTATTTGTAATATCACATTGACAATGAGTGATAATATATGAGAGCTTTCAGTGAAGTATACAAAACTTTCTTAAAGTATTTCATCAAAGTTTCCTATGAAAGACCTTTTAACATAAGTATAAATCTTGTTGTTCTTATACACACACGTAAAAGAAAAATATAAATGAGATATTAATAAAAATAATTTAATGGAAGATATAAAAAGGGATAAAGGTGAAATTTAAGTATAACAATCTGTTATGATCCTTACACTTAATAGAGTTACCTACTACCAACGAAAAAATGCAACTCTTACCTAAAGTTCACATTGTTATAGATTTTGGAAAATATCGTAATAAACTATATACATATATATACAATAAAATTATGCAAAAGTGACTAAAAAGATAAACAAGTATAATTGTATATATAATAATTCAAAGCTATACTATATGACCCTAGGTGTCGGTCAAACAACTACAACAAAATAAACAAAAGTAGCCAAAAGTTACAATGCTAATAGCATGGCTCACCAAAGCTCTCGTCTGTCTCCAACTAATCTTGTTCTACTTTCATATAAACATGATTATTGTAGTCCAACCACCAAGAAATATGTAATAATAAGTTAGATTTCAAAAGAATTAACATAAAACAAGTATAAATGAAATACAAATATACTATAACAAAAAAATGTAAACCACTCAACATGCACCTCATGGTTCACATCATACAACACTTAACATGGAATCAACATGTTTGAAAGGCAAAGAACTCTAGAAACTCAAACTTATACCACAATCATGCCATTTAACAATATAATCACAAAAACATATGAGCAACAAGCACATCACACACACATCATATGTATACACCTTAACTAATGCGTCATCACACATTTACCTACAGAGATATCCTACAACATGGTGAACAATCTTTAAGTTGTTTGACCCTATTGAACCAACACAACCTTTTTACACTTGTTAAGTCAACAATCAAATTGAGATACCAATCTCTAACAACATGATTTCCCAAATGTTGTCACTTAAACCTAAAAGTTTAGTATTCCTATTAGGATAAAACAATTTAGGTATGAATCTACCACGATATTAGCTTGCAACATTAAGTCCCTTGTGAAATTATCCTATTGACTACCCTCTAAATACTAAATCCCTCCAATACTTAATTAGGGACTAAGTCCCTAATTTCATACTTTACTCAATCGCTCTCTTTATACACAAATATTTTGACTTTGCCCACATACGAATAAATATTGGTTACTTGTAATCAGTATAGTTCCACTTGATCCTTGTATTGTGATCACTTATAGCTAGTATACCTTGACCTGACCTACATACTACATCAATTAAGGTCCTAGAAAAAACTCAATAATTCACTCTAAGAGATAACACTTACTTAAAGAGAATTTTTCAACAACTAGAGACATAGAGCATCACATTGATATTTACACAATGGGATATCCAACTTTCAAAAATAGTATCTCTTTTAGTTTTAAGTCAGTCAGTATGCCTAAATGCCTAAAATATTTTCAATATAAAGATGAGGAAAAAAATTACAGAAACAAAAATTTTAAAAATGATAAACCCCTAATTTAGATGAACTAATAAGTTATTTAAATCTAATAAATAATTAAATTTAAGAGAAGAAAAATTCTTAAATATACTTAAAGTTTTCTTAATTTGAAGGAGTAATGTTACTGCCATTACACTTGAACAAAATACTGGGGAGTAAATCCCACTTGAGCAAAGCACCTTTAGAACTTATTTTAAAGTATTTTTTTTTTATTTTCTTTTTTCAAGGGTTTCATTGTAAAAACCAAAAACAAGCACACCATGCGAGTTTGAGTATTCTATTTTGCGATGAAAACGAAGCGTATTGAATAACATTCCGTCGTTCCTCCATCGCGAAATTAGGGTTCCTCAATTTCCCAAATTCACCCAGTTAGAGCAATGGCAGAAGATCTGGTGCTGGATACCGCAATCAGAGACTGGGTGTTGATCCCTCTCTCTGTGGTCATGGTTCTCATCGGTGTCTTGCGCTACTTTGTCTCGAAGCTCATGCACTCTTCACAAACCCCTGATGCCAAAATTGTTAAAGAGGGGTATACCCTAACTTTGTTCGTTACTTCATTATGTGGTTAGGTTTTTTTTTTCTTCTTAATTTGATATCTAACTCATGCTTTGGTGATGTTAAATGTTAATCAATTCAGGCAAGTGATCGTTAGAGCTCGGAATTTGCGTGCTGGAGCGAATTTTATTCCTTCCAAGGCTTTTCGTGCGCGCAAAATTTATTATTGTAACGAGGTTTGTTTGCTTAGTTAGTGTATATTCTTGTTTTTCAGAAGTTTTAGGGTTTAAGTGTGTGGTTCTTGATTGGGAGAATGTTGAAGTGTCTTCGTGCTGTTTGTTTGTGCTCAGACCTTGTTTTGTTTTGTTGGGTGATTTTCTAGATAGTTGTGAAGGAATTTCATATTTGATGTTTTTGAATCGGCTCTAGAACTTGTTAGTTAGAACTTAGAAGTTAATAACTGTGTCACGAGCCTTGTAAAGTGTTTTAAATGATCATGTGTGTGCCTGACCAAATTAACAGTGAACTGATTGTTTGTGTCTCTCTATTGAAGGAAAACGGTCTGTTGTTTGTTCCAAAGGGCCAGGGCCAGAATCCGCAAGCACAAATGTTCTCTGATCCGAACATGGCCATGGATATGATGAAGAAAAACCTTTCAATGATCATTCCTCAGGTGTTAAAATTGGAGTTTGACTGTGCTTTGGCTTTAGATTTTGGATCATGCTCGTTGTACTTTTTTTTTCATTTATTATGGGATGCCTAACTAGCTTTTGCTTATATCGTTTCCTGTTTCGGACAGACTCTTACTTTTGCCTGGGTGAACTTTTTCTTTTCTGGATTTGTTGCAGGTAATTTTTTTTAATACTTCAAAATGTATTTGTTTATCATAAAGTGCCAAGATGCCAGCTTTTTTCTCTTAATAATTATACAACTTGTATATTGTATTAGCACATAAATGTGTTTACTTGTGATAATTATCTTGGCATAGCGTTGGATTCATTACTTTTATTATTTACCTCATGAAAATGCTTAAAACATTCCTGCAGCCAAGATACCCTTTCCACTGACACAGAGATTTAGGTCGATGTTACAAAATGGAATAGACCTTAGCACAGTAGATGTTAGCTATGTCAGCAGTCGCTCTTGGTAATCTTCATTTTTTTGGATTTTTACCTGTTTAACTTTTACTCTGGTTTGATTGTCTAAAGATTGCATTTCTTTTTCAGGTACTTTCTCAATCTGTTTGGATTAAGAGGATTGTTTAGTCTCATCTTGGGTGAAGAAAATGGTTAGTTATGACTTGAAAGCTGAGCACTTATACTTTTATTCAATTCATCAATTTCATGAATATGAATTTTTACTGCTTCTCAGAATGTTGTCATTTTTCCATAATTCCATTATAGCTCTGATTTTGATTGACAATAGTCAAAAGTTGTGATGTCACTATGTGCACTGTTTTTTGTGCAGCTGTCGATGATACACAACGAATGATGCAAATGGGTGGATTTGGATTTGATCCTTCAAAGGTACAAATATAAGTGGTTTACTCTAGATATTTTATAATTTTGAAGATCAATCACTGAATAGTCTTTGCTGAGGATTTAGGGGGCATTTTAAAAGCTTATGAAAATGACTTATAACCTTCATTTTACTCTTTTTAGCTTATGAATAAGCGCTCTCATTTGATTAGAACCTATCGAGTTAGTGATTAAGTTCAGACACACACACACCCTTAGCTAATTGTCTGGAGATTATTAGATGTACAAAGTGGGGGTCGGATGCCCTTTTCTCTGGCTTTGCAGTATGGTCATTAATTTTAAATGATGAAAAATAGGAAAATACCGCGTGATCAAATATGGAGTAGGTAAAGGTGTAACTGTACTCTAGTCTCTAATAAAGTAATCTCAATCTTACTTCTGTTGTCTTCTTTTGATCTTGTTTTCAGGGTCTGAGTGCCGAGAAAGACAATCTTGACATAACCCAGCATGACTGGGCCTTACCGAATTTCGAGCAGCATGCTGAAGCTGTGTTGAAGAAACTCATCAGTTAACCATGTTATGGAATAGGAAGCTTGATTGCTTGCATTAGCAGGATACATCTTTTATTGTTGGGGTAGGACCTGTACCTTTTGCAGCAACAGATATCATAGATCATGTTGAGACAATGAGTGTAGCCTTGAAACTGAACATTTTTCACTTTATTATCAGAGAACGTTGTCACGATTTGTTGAAGCTGAAATTATTGATTCTTGCTTATTTTTCTGAATGCCCATAACAATGAAGGCTTCCCAGGAAATATCGAGTCCTGTAACGTGTTTCAATATCCTCTTGATACCTGAAGTGTCACATGACTCATCCCACATTCCCACTCCTAGAATTTCCCCCCCAAAATGCAAAAATAACTTTTGTTGCATAATAAGAATGCAGGTGAGGTGCGCTTGATTATGTGATCAGATGGTAAAAATTGTAATGTAATGTAATGAATGCTCAAATTACTAAAAGCTGGAAGTAATTTTTAAATGTTGAATTAAATTATTAAAATGTTTTGTTTTTTGGCTTGTGATTTGGTTAGTTTATTAGTTAATTTGTGATCCAACTGAATTATTCTTGAGCCATATAATATTTGTTGGAGTCTGTTTAACCAAACGGTTAAATTTGAGATGTTCCAAAAATAAGAATTTGAAATTTTTTTTTAAGAAATGTATTTGATTATTCTTCATTTTTTCAAGAACAATGTTCACCGTTAATTAATTCGAAAACAATGTTTACTGTTAACTTTGCTAGTGAAAATAAAATAATTATTGTCACTTTTCGCAAATTAATATTCACGAAGTTTGAAAAAGAATTTTTCATACTATCTCAAATGATTTTTTTTTGGGGTAAACCATAGTAATTCTTAATTAAAAATTAAGGATTAATTTTTCGGAGTACTGCAATTTTTTTGTATTACTCAAATAATGTTAAAACATTAGAATGCCATATTTCATGCAAGTAAAAAGGAAGAAAACATAGCTTGTTTAAATTCAATAATTCCAAGAGTAATATTAATCTGAAAAGGCAGCAGCATGGATTCCATGTGATTAGAAGATCAATGGTGTGTATGAAAAAATACTAATTAAAAGAAGTCAATCTTTTAAACGTATTTCAGTATTTTGTTGTATTAGCTCTTAACTTTCGGCTATAATAAAGATTTAAAAAATAAAATAAAATTGAATGGTAACAATAGCAAAGATTGGGATAGCCTGCAATTGAGGAATCAGATGGTCACACAGTCAAACAATTCTCGACCTTTAAATTCATCCATCGCTCCTCGTTGATTCTTCCTGTCTGTTTATCTATATTTTGCACGACATGAATTGTTACTTCTGAAATCTTTCAGAAAACATGTTGATTGCTGAAAGTAGCAAGCCATCATCAACGTGTTGCTTTATTGCTATAACAAATTCTCTAACTCATTTTTTTTTTTTTAATTTTGGAATTTGAATGAAAATTTTTATTTGGATATGCCCTGGAAAATTCAAATTAAGCATTAAAAAATGAAGACTAATTTATTCAAAAACCAACTTAACTGAAAACCAAATGAAACTAGGTGGCTTCTAGGGTGCATCACTGAAATCCTTCGGCTATATAATAAGTTAAAAGAAAATTCTAAATAATCTATTATGTAGACCTACAATGTTTTTCTATTTTCATTTTAGTCCTTCACACTGTAAGGACAAATCTTACGAACTAGTCAGTAATCATAACCTCTAGTTTATTTAACAACGTTATGTAAATGGTATTGGTACTGGTACACCACATTTCAGTATTTCACGTAGTAACCTAACCTACCATGAACCTAACTATAAAATGAAAAGAATAAATAAACCAAAAAATGTCTGTAATTAGCAACCCATCAAACACCAAAGTTAATTAGCTTTACATCAAGTTAATAAATGTTACAAACCAATTCCATCTAAATAAACTTCTGGAATCTAGTTTTAAAATTCCCAGGCTAAGATGTCATGTATGTACACAAATGAAGCTAAGTGGTGAATTCCAAGCTCCTTAGCCTACAACATTTTATGTTCCATAAGCAGTCAAGATTTCAGATACTCATTCCCTGCATGTCCAGTAAAGTTTGATATAAACTTGCAACATGAAAAGGAAGACACAACAAAGCTCAAGTTGTCTGATCCACTGCTAATAACACTGCCAACAATTGGTGACTTATTATTATCATCTCATTTGTTTGTAGCAGCTATAAGCAATGGTAACCGACACGGCGGCACAGACAACGGCAAGAGCAGCATAAGTATCCTCCTGCTCCCAGCTGTCAAGCCATGTCGGCGTGGAACTAAACCAGCGCAATGCTGCCTTGCCCTTGTTGATCCGAGAAATCACATTTACATTCTTCCTGCTATTATTGTCAGGCGAGAGCTCTCCCATTTCCGCTAACATGTTGTTCTGACAGCAACAAGAGTCTTCATTGTCTTGGCAACAGCTCTCTCCGTCGGTTCGACAGCGGCTCGCAACCGTGCTTCCTTCTAAATGCCTTGCGCCATTCAGCTGAAGCCGTTGTTCTTGCTTTTTCTTCTGCTCATCTTCTGATAAACCAATTTGACCCCTGATGGCAAATAGTAAAACATGTTGCAGAAAAATGATCAGCAGCTATTTTTCCAGGGACTGTTATGAAAAAAATTCATGGCATCACATGAAATATCAAATTATGGGATGCCTTGATAATGATAAGTTATAGGAGAAGTTTGGTTTGGTGGACATTCTATGGAGGAAAGAGAAATATTGCTAGTTGTTCATCATATAAACATCCTTCATGTAAGATCTTAAATTTGTAATGCTTTGAACTTGTGAGTGGAAAATTTAAACAGTTGAATATAACTACTAGAAAAAGGACAAAATATGCATTGCTGCTCGACGATATAATTTCAATTTGAAAATATGGAATTCACAAGAGCAGGCTATATCCAAATTGCAGAATATATAATGAAAGAAAAATATTAAACTAGTGATGAAAATGGGAATTTAAGCATGCACTATGTGTGAAGGTGATGTGGGACAATTGAAGAGTAATCCTCTTGGTATGATACTCCCTACTAAACAAACCAGGTACTCCTTGTAGTAGGGTAAGCCTAAAATGCTCCTCTAGAGTCAGGTTCTCCGCTAAATCAAATATCATATACTCTTTGAAAAAGAAAGTTCAATATCAAAAAATAATCAAAGTTTCTCAAATGTTTAAACTAAAGGTCTATTTATATACCTAATAAAACAACTAATGAACTAACCCTAAACTATAATAAGTTGAACCAGAGAGGCTAAATTCCTAAAGACAAATTAATCTCAAATGAAAAAATACTAATGAAATTACAAATCCTAAATAAAGAAATACAAACAAGTCAACACTAGAAAGATTCCCAAAAAACTAATTCCTCAAATGCCTCTGAAATTTGCCGGTTCACTCCTAATAACCATTTCATTCTGAGCATTGAGATATTTGAAATTGGGAACAGCAACAAACTTTATGAATATAGCTAAAATTTTCGCCTCAGGCACAATCGTTGATGGTCTAATCTGAAACAATATAAAAATTAACTTCAAACCCCCCACAGCAGACTCAGCCTCTGCTCCAAAAGCTAGAACAAGAGCAATCCCGGCTATTATCTTTTGATGGAAGGAACTAGAAAAGAACCTTTAAAACTCCATACCAAAAAAATATTATAGATAAAAATTACCTCCATAGTGAGTCAAAAATTTCCCCTTTAATGATATGCTGGCGAAACAATAAAGGTACATCATCAGGATTAACATATCCATACCTACATAGTTTAGTTAAATAAAATACAGTTCAGCTTAATACTGAAAATAAAGAAAAATGTAATAAGGGTATTTCGGAAGTATAAAGAGGAAATATAATGTTCTATTGGCAAAAGAAATGTTAATAACCAAGAGAAATCTCCTCCTTACAAGTGTCCAGTGACTTCTCTGTTGATGCTCGATCCAAATATAATGACATTTCCTGCATACTTAGGCCCCCCAATGTGCGAGCAAGAGCTAATCAACACTTTTCCTTGAAGACCATGTAACTCAATCTCTTCCCTGAATCTACTGACCAAGATAGGTCCAAAAACCCCACACCTACGATCACGGGATCCATGTGAACACACAAAAACATATGAAGCTTTTAAGGATTCAGGGTTTCCAGGAAGCCATTCTCCTTCCTTGACAAGGACTTCTTCAACAAATGTCTCAACATCAAAATGGGTTAATCTCCTGCAGTTTTACCAATGTTTCTGTTAATAAGGAATTAGGGGAAACAACAGAGGACTGTTAAGTTGTGAAACAACTCGAACTATAAGTACTCACCTATATCTGATCATGTCTGGAAAGATCAATACATCTCCATTTGATGTTTCAGTCCCATCATGTCCCTCACATATTGTTAAGCAGGTCTAGCAAATGACAAGTCCAAGACAATTAGCCAGTCAGCATAATCTAAGGGGTGTTTGGTTCATTTTCAGTATATATATTTTCATTAATAATTACACAAATGTCACATCATTTTTTGTTCAGTTGCCTGTTTTCAGAACTGTGAATGTGACGGTGAAAATAAGAAAATAAAAATAGGAAAAAGAATGAATATAAGGTGAAATTTTTGTAATTATAAATTAAAAATATACCGGGTGAAGATGAAAAAGGAAAATAAGCCAAAATCCCTCTAATGGAGTAACCTGATTTAATTAAAATAAGCTTAAAGACAGATAATACTAAGCAACATCATAGTTATCAAAGTCTTACAATTCACGATTTGAATCTTACGATTTGATATAATTTGGTAACTTACCGATATGTATCTTAAGATGAATCTAAAATGATTTTGTATCTTATGATATATGAATGAATCCATACAATTTCGTATCATCGATACGAATCATACAATTTGATTCATTATTTTTTTCTTTGTTACCTTAGTTTTGCCAATTCTCATGAAAAATTGAAAATTCATATAAGCTTAAATTGTTAAATGAAAAGGGATTGAAGGAACGAACACTGGTTTTATGGGAGGCTCTGTTGTTGAACTGTGCAGACAATCACTTCTTTTGGCCTTGTGGTCATTATTATTTGTATTGAATATGCTACAATATATCCATGTACGTTTTTTTTTTTTTTATGTTAAAATATGGCTAGAGTGCTTATATGTGTATGTGCGTGCACATGCGCTATGTTTTTATTAATTATGAATCTTACGATTCAATTCATGATTCAGAAAAAAAAGGCTTTCATTGTATCCTGATTCAACTACCATGCTCAGCACTAATATTTGGTTTAGAACAGAACTCCAATTCCAAAATATCAGGGTTAGCTCATCACTAATATTTTAACCAATGAACTCTCCCATCATACGTTCTTCCCAAACAGTCCCTAAATCACCGCCAAAACCTATATAATGAATACATATCACTAAATCCAGACAGCATTTACACTACATTAGTTGGTCATAATTAATAACAAAATCCACATATTATGTAATTCGAGTAGAATTTAATACGAAAACTTCACAAAATAATAAAATAAAACACACACAAAAGAACCTTAAATTAAACCACCCATACCGTACCTTATACCCTAGCCAAAGTTTGGATTGATGAGACAGAACGGATACAATGAAATGGAATGTTAAGATACTAGGATCCTATTTAGGTGAAACTTCTCAATAAGCCCTTGTAGAAAAAGAAAATAAAATGAATGAAGTTTCCTATAAACTAAAATCAGCTTATGCTAAACTTAAGATCAGCTTTTGGATAAGCTAAATGGAAGAACTTTTAAAAATTATTTTATACATACGTTAATTTTAACTTTTGGAGAAAAACTAAATCATTTTACCATCTTATTTTCTCCTCTAACTACTTATTGAAAAGTTTGTTCAAACACAGCGAAGATTTCATTGTTTGGATAGTTTAAAATATAACAAAAGCCATTCCATTTAATTCAACATTCTTCATTTTCTTTCCCAAATATGTATATGGGGTGAAAGCCATCCTTCCTTTCATCACTCTATCATATAAAAATAATCAAACAGCAGAATGTTGACTTTATTTCACCCTGTTCCATTACTTTCCATCACACTCCATTCCATTCCATTCCACTCACACTTAGACACCCATCCACAATCCACGCCAAAAGAACAACAACTAACATATCAAAATCAAACCCACCTCAACAACAACATGAACTTGACAACAAAAGATCCCAAAACAAGTACATTACTCCCAGGAGAACTAGAACAAAAACAACCTTTCTCATTCCCCTCTCTACCTAGTTCCACCCAACCCCACAAAAAAAAAAAAAAACATTTTTAAAATCCAAAAGAAAAGATTTTTTTAAAAAAAGATTCAAACACCAAACCAAAAATGATGAGAGCAAAAGAAAAAGTGAACCTCTTTCTTGATGTGAGGCTTCCTGGCATTGATGGCGGCGTGGAGCAGCCTCGGGAGGCGATCAAACTCGGCGGCCTCAATGCGCGGCGGCCACACGGCGGGGTTCTTGTAGCAGAGGAACACGTGGCGGCGGCAGAAGAAATCCGACGATGACAAGGCGTCGGCGGTGCTACCCATCATGGCCAAACCGCTCAAGTTGCAATCTTTGGAAGCGAAGAATCAAAATGACGCTGAGTTAGTGAGTGTTGAAGTGTGATTGCAACTTGCAAGAAGAGTGTGCACTGTGTAACGCTTTCTTTGGTGATGTTTTGTTTCTTTGGGAGAGAGGCTGCGTTCCTGTGTGGTTAGGTGCACCATGCTTCCTGTGCAACCGGCTTTGTGTCGTATTAATTTGGTGCTTGGGTCGGTCAGAGACTCTCATTATTTTATGATTATATTTGAATTCTTCCAAGTAAATGTTTTAAGAAAATCACAAAGTTTTACTTTACAAAAATGAATTTTGATAAATATGTATGTGAATCATATATCAACAAATAATTAAATTAAAATCACCTAAAACATACAATATTAACAACAATGTCATATGATATCTCGTTAAAATGGTCTTATAAAAATAAAGATTAATTATTCATAAAGTTAATTAATATTTCGTACTAATAGTATATATTAATATATTAATATAATATATATCATTAAAAATTATTTTTATTCATATAATAAATATAATATATATTGATATATTATTAAAAAATGTAGTTAAATTTTATTTAAAAATAATATTAAAATTATATATAATTATATATCAAATAAATAATATTTATATATTCTATATATTTTTTATTTATAATGACACTTTTATGTCAAATAACATTTTTAATAATGAATATAAATAATATCTTTTGTAATTTTAGTCTAAACTATAATTTAGAGATTAAAAATAAAGAACTAAGCACAAATTTCAAGTGGGGGTTGGTAACTTCATTAATCGTTTCTAACCTACTACTATAGTTCATCTTTTTTGTAGAGCTCGTTGATTCATCTTTTTTAAACTGTGATCCATTTTGACGAACATATTGTAATTATGTGGCATTAATGTAAATCAAATTAATCACAGTACACAAACTATTGCATGTGAGTAATAATAACAATTTCGTGACTTTTGGTTAATAGACTTGAACACACAGTATTATCGAGTACCAAAATCTCATGATTTTCTCTACCATTTAGATATTTATGAATTATGGCTAACATTGATTTTTTTTATCCATTTTTTAAATATAAATTACCACTTTTATTGTAGTTATTTTCTTATCCAATAATTTAATAATTTACTCTTATATATTAAGGGAGTGTTTGGTAAGGATGAAGTTTTTTTATATCTAGAAATCATAATTATTGGGAATTACAATTCTTGAAAATCATGATACTCAAGAATAGTTAAAATATATTTAATTATCGATAAAAAAATTTAAAAACATTCATATACGATTCCCAAAAATCAAATACTTTCATATTTGATTACAATAGTATGTTCCTAAGTTTTATAAATATTTTTTATAAAAATATCTTTTGTTAAAATAAATTTATTATATATATTTATTTACTTATCTTATTACAAGTATAATATTAAATTATTTTTAAAAATTGAAAACTTATTAAAATTATTTTAATACATAATTTAACAAAAAAGAAAAAGAAATGAAAAGAAAAGAAAAATACTACAAAGAATAAAAATATATTACTTTATTTCATTCAAATAAAAAAATAAAAAATGTTAACAAATATCATTGAAATATATAAACAAAATAGATTTTTAATTGACAAGATCAAAAAATAATGAGATAAAAAATGTGACAGAAATACATATATGAGAGGGAAAGAAAGATTAGAGAGGGAGAGCGAGGGGGTGAGGGAGAGAAGAAGAGAAGGGGAATGAGAGTGAGAGAGATAGAGAGGAAGAAAAATAAATAGGAGGAGAGAGAGGGAAAGGGAGAGAGGAAAAAAGAGGGGGTTTAGGGTTTAGGGTTTAGGGTTTAGGGTTTTAGGGTTTAGGGTTTAGGGTTTAGGGTTTAGGATTTAGGGTTTTACTTAAAAGGACATCATGTCATTCCATGATACATAAAAATTATATCTCTTAGTTTTATTCATTCAGATCTAATTGACCTAAAACAAGTATATTAAGGGTAGTAAAAGATTATTTTATAACTTTTATAGATTACTTTTCTTGACATACAAGTGTATTTAATTAGAAAAAAAAATATTATAATTAATTTAATTACTTTTGTTTATTTAAATTTGAATATCCTATCTTATTTGAAATTGATTATTCAATGATAGTAGGTTTTTTACTTAGTTTTCTTAATTAATGAGATTTTATCCTTTTGATTTGTGATTGTTAAGAATATATTTTATTAATATTACTATTTTCAATTAATGGGGATAATTTTCATATCAATTTTTCGACATATGATTTTGTATTAAATACAAACCTTTTTTCACAAAATAAATAAATAAATAACTTTTCTTCACATAAGAGTATCTTAAAAAAAAAATCTAATGTACTTGCTAGTTTTGTGTCTTGGTTCTACTTTTGAGAAGTTCATGTTGTATTTTAGGGGGCTCGCACAAAAGTTTAGGAGGTAAGAGGTTCTTGATGTATCATGGTTCAAAGTTTTGGGAAGAAACTATTATGATTAAAATTTAGTGGGAATAGAACTTTCACACAAGTTCCTAAAGATACAACAAGAACCTCCTATACATTGAACCATGACACAAAACTAGGAAGTACACAAGAAAATAACCTAAATAATTTTTCGTAAAAATGACAAAGAAGAAAAGTTTTTTTTTTTTAATAAAAGCTTAGTATTTAATCCAAAAATTACCCTCTAAAAATTGATATGAAAATTGTTTCTATAAATCCAAAACAGTAATGCTTATAAAATATATTATTTATGGTCACAAATCAAAAGGATAAAATCCCATTAATTAAGGAAGAGATCCAGTCTAAAACCAACTAATAAAAAATGTCACTTTTAGATAAAATAGGACACTCAAATTTAAATAAACAAAACTAATTAAAAACATAATTAAATTAAGTATAATATCTTCATGTCTAATTAATATACTATTGTATACATTTAGAGTACATCTATAAAAGATAAAATAATTTTTTATCATTTTTTGACATTTTTAGGTCAACTAGATCTAAATGAAATAAACTAAGAAATTCAAATTCACGTATTACATAATGAGTGTCTTTTTTAGCAAGTGCAAAAAATTAACCAGATAATTAAAAGTGGAGTTAGAAACATAAAGGTAATTATTCTCATTCTTAAATTTATTTTTCTTAGAGTCATGCATTTGATGCACCTTTTTTAATTTGGTTTGTATTATACCATGTTTGCCTTTGCATATAAAACTTTAGTCTTTGCAACAATAAACTCTTTTTGGTTGGTATCCTAAATAATGATGTGAGTGGTGAGATTTGATAATGACATATGTTTGTTCATACTTATAAATAATTTACATTTTTGGTAGTTTCTCATCAAAAGCTTGATCACAAACTCATAAGAAAATAATCTATTTTTGGCCTTCAAGTCTTCAAGTAGTTTATGGTACTCATTCATTTGTACCTTAATTAATGTCCTTGTCTTCGGTCATCTCCTAATAATAGTAATTTTTGATAATGAATCTTTGTCCAACCACATCCTTGGCAGTGTACTTCAACATCATGGACTCTGATACTTCATTTGCTTCCTTATAAGAACAATACACATCAAGAAGGTCATTAGATAATTCACTAAGTAAGGTGTAACATCAAACCTTATTCACATGTGTTCAACAATCATTTTGCTTAAAAGCAATGGTGAAGTCTAACTTTGGGGTTGTGAGCACATAAACAATTTCGTGCATATTTAGAATAGAGTGAATCCATTCTTACTAAGACTTCAATTTTGGAGATGTTTGACAATAGCTTGACATAAGTGATCATAGTGGCCAGAACAACAATGGAAGGATCAATATTCTTTTCGTCAATCATGTTAATTAAGTTCTTAAGCTTGTTGGTGAAGTAGCTTGAAGTCACGAACAAAACACAATTTCTTGAGGCATCTAGTTTCATTATCTTTAAGGGTCTGTCTAGGAAAATCACACAAGTCCCTCGTTATACAATAAGAACCTCCTGGATGTAGATCTATGGCACAAAACTAACAAATACAAGAGAAAATGACCCTAATAATTTTTCATGAAGAATATGACAAAGAAGAGAAGGTTTTTTTTTCTATGAAGAAGAACTCAATATTTAATACAAAAACACCTTCCAAAAAATCAATATGAAAATTGTTCCTATAAATAATGGAGGAAATTTCGAAGTAGTTTGTGAATTAATTATAGTGATTAATTACAAGTTAGAGAACATGACATAGAAAAAACTTGATAGGTTTGAAGATTGTTATAGAAAGATAGTGTTGAAGGGTTGGGTAAGAAGTGTTTTAGTTTTGCTCCTAATGAAAATTGAATTTATTTGCATAAATTTCTCTAAAAACTCTTTTAAAAGAAAAAAATATAAAGAAAAATTGAAGTAAGCTTTCCATGAACTAAAACTAGCTTATGTATAAGTTAAAAATAAGATTTTAGAAAATTAATAGCAAAGTGTTTCTACTAATTAACTCATGTATAAGCTAAATTTTAATTTATGAAAATTTATTTCATTTTTTCTTCTTATTTTCTTCCCTAGATGTGTTTATACAAAGAGTAAATTACACTCTTATCTCTCGAGAGATAAATATTGTACTACCTTTCCATCTTAAGATAAAAAGTATAGTTCTCTCTCTCGACAAATTTCGATACATAACATTTTGCCCATTTTTTTTTTTTAAAAAGTTAAAGTTTCGTTAACTTCTATTACAAAAAAAAAATTATTATCAAAACACTCTTTATGGTTTATAATGACATTCTTTCACAAATTTAAATATTATACCACTCTTTTTTTTTGTGCTAAAATAAGCACTTTCATTCTTAACAAATTCAAATATGTTACACTTTAATAACTTATCTCTTAATTTATATATTTAGTTATTATTATATTTTTTTTATAAATTTTGCTAAACTAATTATATATTCAAAAATATATTTTTCATTATTAATTTTACAAAATATTTTAAAGTTATATATCAAAATAAAAATTATATATGTATATATAAGTATAATAAAATCAAAGATAAGTATTAAAATAATATTTAATCAATGTAGTTAATGTAACATTCTTATAAATATTTAAATAAAATAGGCTTTTCATTATATAG